CGGTGGGGGTATATTTTTGTAAATAATAAATGTATTGTTATTATAATTGTATATAATTTAGAGATTCACCAAATGGACTCATTAAAATCAGGTAAACGTCGTTTGAGATCAAAATCGAGTTGTAAGAAAAAAGAGCTCGTGCGTATCTCCGCTCATCGTTCCGAGTATTTGAACCCGGAAGATCTTAGAGCAAGTGGAATGGTAACAGAAAAACCTTAGAAGTACCTCACCAGCAGTTATTTTTAAACCACCTGTTTTAATTTCAAGTCGTAGGCTTCCGCGAAAGCCAGAGTCATGTGCATTATCTTGGTTGTCCGGTGACGCCGTGACGAAGCTGTGTGCCGACGTTTCGGACTATCTGTTGTGGCTTTCTCAGATGCTGTATGTCATGGGAATACCACCGTACAGTAAGATTCATGTACTTGTTTAAATTTGTCCGAAAGGGTAGCGAAAACTTTCAAAATAAGCTTCGGCCAACTTTTAACTTGGGAAAAGAGATTCACTAAGATGAACTCATTAAAGCAGATAAACATCGTTTTGAAGATCAAAAAATCGAGTTGAAGGAATACAAAGAGCTCGTGCGTATACTCCGCTCATTCTTTCCGGTATTTGAAACGGAAGATCTTTAGAGCAAGGTGGACTTTAAGCAGAAAAACCTAAGAAAGTAAAATATATCTAAAATAAGATGTGAGGAGATAGGAATAATGGTTTATATTTCCCAAAATTAGTTCATTTTTTTAAAAACTAGTTCCAATCGGAATAGAATTTGAGTAATTGTCTCAAACAATTTAAGATCGTATACAAGGAAACGGAAATATGTGAAAAATATACCTTATGTACTACTATTACAGACCATTTACTCTCAGTCGTAATGGTAAGTATAGCATGCTCTCATTTGGTAATCTGTGAAAAATAGACTGAGATGCAAAAGAGACTAAAGCCGAAACCGACTGTCTGGCTTGCCGTAATCCCGCAAAGTCCGCCTGCTCCGCCGGGCTGTGCCGCTGCGCGC